TATGGAGCACCAACAGGCGACACTTTTCGTCAGGCTCAAAAGAATTTCGTGCAGAGTTGTGCGGCATATTGTCTGATTTCCTATCTGCTCCAGGTTAAGGATAGGTAAGTGTTGAGATGTGGAATATGTTTATGAGGAAGTTATTTTTACATACCAATTTGCTTTTGCATTCCATAGGCATAATGGCAACATACTCTTTCATTCGGATGGTCATATAATACACATAGACTTCGGCTTCATTTTAAGCATATCTCCCAAAAATTTGGGTAAGTATTGAAAATCAAATTTTATGCATATGATAATATTAATACAATTCTGGCTCTTGCAGGTTTCGAGCAATCACCTTTTAAGCTTACACATGAATTTGTCGATGTTATGGGCGGAACGGGATCCGTGCATTGGCGGGAATTTAATCGTCTGCTTCTCGTCGGCATGATGTCTGCGCGCAAGCATATGGATCGTATTATAAACTTTGTGGAAATCATGCGCAGTAGTATGTAAAAAATGAAAAGAACATTGGAAACATTTTTAAGAAATTTGTTTTCTGATTTCCCTTCTAGATGCCCAATTGCCGTGCTTTAAGAATGGCTGTTCCGGCACAGTACAGAATCTCCGAAAACGCTTTCACATGAATTTAACTGAACAGGAAATGGAACGCAAGGTGGAACAGCTTGTACAGGACTCACTGAAGAGCCTATCAACCAAACTGTACGATGGCTATCAATATTATACGAATGGCATTTTGTGAGAACGGTTTTTTATGAAAATCTAAGCGAACGGATTGATTAATCATCTTGTGTGCTAAAATGCCGATCTGATAAACCAAAAGAGTATGTTTAAAGAAAAATTTTATATATATGTATATAAAACGAAATCAAAACAATAACTGTTATTGTAGCCAGAATCGTTCATTATGCGTTGTGGCAATGTTATTATTCTATTATATTATGTTAGGCCAAAGTGAATGTTGTCTAGCTTTTAAGTAAAAGTGTAAATGCCTTTGACTGTATTTGTCTGTCTGTCTTGTCTCGGTCTTGTATTGCATTTCATTAAGCAAACATAATAATCATCGACTTGTACATATATATAAGAACTTATGACTGTAATTAGAAAATATCGCTAAGTCGTCACGCATATTCATTTTATAAGAAATTATTGCATAAGCTAAACATTAATCATTAATTCACTCAGCTATTCACAAAACTAAATGCAAAACAAATTTACTATTCGCATGTCTGAACGATTAAAATTGAAATTCCAACATATATAGGATTTTTTATTAATAGCTAAATCACTAAAATATTTTCCAACAATACAGACTCATATTTATTTATAAAATGCCAATAATCAGATATGCCGCAAATATGAATATACGTAGATATGGGAATTACATTAAAATATATGTTCGCTTTCGCCCTCCAAAGTCCTCATATGTGTATATGTACGGATATATACTTATATAAATATATTCCTATATTTATATAGCCAAACATGTTTCTTACTTTATAGTAACTAAGCTATCAAAATACTGGCAAAAATCAAATTAAATTCAAATGAACATAAAATAATAGTTAGACACTTGAAGTGTTTATTTCAATCAAAAAGTACTCATATGTACGGCTTAAACATAAAGCAAATTATGTGTATAATAATTATAATTACCTAAAAGTAATTTAGCTAAAAAATATTATAAAATAAAGGTTGCATTTTTCTACAGTTAATTTAATAAACTCGATCGACAAGATATTTAATTACTGTGATCGCTTGCAAATTATAATGATTCGCAAATTATTATTCATACGGGAAAATGTTTATGCGAAAATTACCAAAATACTCTATTTGAAAATTGTTTAAAATAATCAAAACAACAATAATAGTTCGAATTTTAATTGAAAATACGTTCTTTAAATTAAAATACGCGGCTGTAATTTCGAGGTGTTATAATTTCTGAGCGACCACTGTACTGAATATAAAAATCATTTAAAATTTCCAAATATCATTATAAAATTAATAATAAACATGAAAGTACCCAAATAGATGTGTATCATAAATTATCATTACAACATAAACTGAACTGATTTTTTAAGAAATATCAAGAGCCATAATACTTATTGGTTAAAAATTCAAGTTCCTGCCCGCGTACTGGAAATATCAGGATGTATCTGACCGATAATCGACATATTTTAGAAATTGTTTGTGTGCAATAACAATTTCAACAGGTAGAAGTAGGGTTTTTATTAGAAACTTGTTCTAGTAAGCTTTACTCCTCGACTATCTTACATTCTATTTTACCGAAACACCGCCGATACGGGAACTTCGATTCCATAAAGTAAAATACCTGATTAGTAAGTCAGTTGCGTGCAGCAACTATGTAGGAGTCAGACGAAAGGTACTACTACAATATTAAATCGAAACTATCCCGTCCACGAACGATTCAAGTCGTAACTTAAAGAAACAGAAACTCTGTTGAAAATTACATTTTTAGAAAACGCTTTTCAAAATCTGTCTAAATTCCTGGGTAAAATTATGTAATATAGCAGCAAATTCCTAACAAATTGTGCGTATAATCGCATTAATTGGCTATCGACGAGACATGCGTAACTGATGCACATGAACTTACCCTATAACAACCAGCTGTTATCCCATTTATGCGGAAGTGCTGCACAGCCTTAAAGTGGCTGATCCGCAAGAGCTGGACTTGAAGCGGGAAACTTCAAACGAGACATTGTCAAAGCAATTGGGAACCTGGAGACCTGGATGCGTTGGAAGGGAGCATGCTAGTCTTATAGATCCCAATTCTGAAATTTGTTAAAGCTTGTATGAGTATTGCTTATAGATTGTCTTAGGTCAGTGTGAACATGGTGATCCCAAGAGAATTGAACAACACCAACACTACCACGACAATGAAGAATCAGGAAAACATCACACCCAAAGTCATCGAGTCATCTCTATCTTTGGCCCATTCGTCCTGCCAACAGGACAAGTTCGATGCATTACGGCACGCTGCTATACGTGAGTTGCTTGAAACGGAAATCAATTACGTGAAGCTACTGTCAGCCGTTTGCAACGGGTGAGTCACCAGTTGTAGTCTCCAAGCAAATAACCATTCCACTTCTATCTCAAGCTATTTGCCTGCCATGAGCAAACGCCTAGACATCTTCTCTGCCAGCAGCATAAGGCTAATATTTTCAAATATAACGGCCATATACAAATTTCAGCGAATGTTTTTGGAAGCTTTGCGCCAAGGCATTGAGCAGAATCAAATATCGAAGGTGTTTCTAAAGATGGTGAGTGTGTGCCGTTAAATAATAAGTAGTTACTTTCTATATAAGTGAAATTCCTGCAACTAGCATAAAGGATTTCTATGCTATTCAGCATACTGCAATGATTATTCGCGTGCTCTTGTCGAGCTCGAACCCTACGAACGCATCACGGAAGCTCGCACAATTCTGGAGAAGTGAGTTTGTGCCCAGTTCAATTTGAGCTACAAAATCCATTAATCCATTATTAATCAATAAATTTCAAAGCTGCCGCGAATCCGATAACCTGGCCAAACTACCGCTATCTGCGCATCTGCTAGCGCCAGTGCAGCGCATCTGTCGCTATCCTTTGCACCTCAACGAACTGCTTAGGACTGCTTTGAAGAATAACGGGAATAAGCTTGGTGTCCAAACTGATATTTTAGACTATGAACATATTGATGTGCTCCAGTTTGATATTCCTGATACGCACTCCACAGTTAAAATGGCGCTTAAGAAGATGCGTGGCGTAACTGAAGCTGTAAACGAGGGTAGACGCCAAAGCGAGATTCTTGCAAGGCTTCAGGGTAGTTTCCAGAGCTTTAAGGGACCTCCACTGAAGCTGCACAGCACACGTTTCTTTTTACAGGGGGACGCCATGCGGCAAAAGCAGAACATTTGGAACAGCAGTTGCACCTTGTTTCTATTTGATAACCAGCTGATATACTGTAAACGGGATATCATCAAGCGTAGCCAGTTCATCTATAGGGGACGCATCTTTTTGGATCGCTGTCGCATCGTGAACATGCAGGATGGAAACATGTTTGGTCCCACGGTCAAGAATATGCTACGCTTCTATTGCCAGTCACGGGAGAAGTGGTACGACTTTAGCTTTCGCTCTGCCATTCGTAAACATGTATTTCTCAATGCGCTTGCCATGGAGCGACAGTTTTGTGGCAAGAGTCTGGACGTTTCCGAGATGACAGGATTAGAGTTTAATGACTTCGATGAGGAACGGTCGGGTGATTTCTCTGACCAATCGGACTACGAGCTACAAGACTGTGAACACACAATGGGCAGCTTATCCTCCAGTGGTGACAATTCAGGAGCGGAGTTCACGGTCAAGTCAACCTATCGCTCTTGCGCACAGTGGAACGATAATATTGCCAGTACCAGCCATGGGTCTGGGCAGATGCTTATATCAACTTCAGCCTGGTCGCTGAGCCTTCGCCGTCTAAACAACTGGTTCCGCAAGTTGAAAAGCTTCAATGGAACGGCGAATCCGTTACCTCCTCACAGGCCAGATTTTGAAGCAGATTCAAAACCAACAACAAGCGAAAGCGTACAGGCTGCTTCCGCGCAAAATGAGACTGGCAGCTCGTTTGCTTGATTAATCTCTTTATTCATTATTATTTACAATCAAATAAAATACTAATCGCTAAATATATGGCTTTGCCGGTATGTAGAAAATGCAAAAAAATGCCGTTATTTGTCGTTAACATATCGAACAACAGAAAGCCCATAGTCGCGAAACAGGTCTGCTAACAAGTGCTTCGCTCTGTCTAACTTTTAACATGACTATCAATCGTTAACATTGCTGTAATTAAATATCTGAAGAGTTGATATTGGAATATATCGATACTTTTTATGATTATCGGTAGCGGAGTACCAAGTAAGTGAAGGACGCTATGTTAAGTAAGAGGGTGCCAATATACAGTAGCCAGAGAACACTGCTAAAAATAGAGGACGCTGTTAACATCGATATTCATATCGATAGAAGATCAACAAATGGATGATCGTATTCTCCCACTCTCGCACCTAATACAGATGATCAATATAAATTGTTAGCATTTATTGTACTTTATCAAAAATATTGACAACTTGTAATGTTATTTAAACGTCGCATGTGTTGTTGAAAGTGTGTTTGCTAGCTAAAATGCACAGCGCTGTTGGAGCCACGGGAAACAGCAAAGTTGTGGCCACATTGCGCGCTGATGGCAGTGTGGCAATGGAGGCGCAATCCGTCAACCAGCAGCTATCCAATAATTTACTAAAAAAATATAAAATTGTAAGTAATAAAGCATATTCTAAAGTTTTCCAACTATTAAATAAACACCGTAGCGCACCGAGGGTGAGCTTCTATTAAAGAAGGGCAACGCGCCCGGGCCAACAACAGTCGTTGATTTGGGAAAGCAACTCTTACAATGTGCTCGAGACAGCGATGTTCCTGGCGTAAAGACTGCGCTTGCTCATGGCGCTCCGTTTTCATCAGACTGGGTGAGTCAAAAACATAATACTATAATAATATAAATGTAACTGCAACATTTCAATTTCAGCTGGGTATGTCGGCGCTTCACTTCGCTGCGATGAACAATCAGCTGGAAATCTGCGAAATTCTCTTGCAAGGCGGCATTAACATGGAGGCAAAGACAAAAGTGGACCGAACGCCACTCCATTTAGCTTGCTATTTCGGACACGAGCGAATTGTAAGCCTATTTCTGGCGCTGAGGTGTGCCGTGAATGCACGTGATATGGTGAGAGCCAGCTAATTACGGCCTGGACTAGCTTTTGAACTGAGTTATTCTTGTTGCACAGCTTCGCATGACACCGCTGCACTGGGCTGTGGAAAAAAGGCACAAGAGTATTGTTCGCATGCTGCTTAAAAGTCAGGCAGACGTAACACTAGTCTCCAAATTTGGCAAAACCCCCATCGCCTTGGCCGTGCTAACTGAACAGGCAGATATTTTGGCGGAGCTGGAAGCTGCTCGCCAGTCTCAGGCTAACCGCAAATTCAACGAGGAGACAGAGGTAAGTACCTTGTCGACTCACTTTTGTCAATAAGCCAGTGATTTTATATACCTTAAAAATCAACCAAGGTAGAATCGAAATAAAATGTCCATTTCATTTTGTCTTATTATTCCCGACTGCAAACCATAGCAAAAGATGCGCTGTATAAAAGTATGTGACATATTATAACATAAACAATGTTAATCGTATCACAACTATGTCATCTTCATTTTTCAAATTATAAAATTCTGTCCAAAAACATTTTTCCATAATTTCTAGAAAGAAACCAGCGATGCAGTTAATTCTATTATGGATGAGTCTAAGTCAATACGAAGTCTTGACGACGCCGACATGTCGGTCGAGGACAAGATGGATGTTTTAGAGACGTTACGCGGCCGTAAGTATTTCTTTCCCTAATATAACAAGTAAAAATAATATTTCTTCTAATAGACACTAACATGCTGGGAAATTCTGCTTTAAATATGCTTAAGACGCATGGTATTGCAGACATGATGCAAGACAATCAAATAGGTAGTATATTTTCTAATCCAAGCAAGTATATCTTTTCGTAAATTGATCGATATTCTAGACGACGAAGCGTCGAAAAAGATGCTAAACACTGCGCTTCGAAATGGTCGACAGCTGGTGCTCTCAGAGGGCGGACGTATGCTGCTGCATGAAACGAACCGTGGTTCAAATGTTAAACAAAGTACAAACGGATCTATTAACAATAACTTAAGGAACAACGCAATCAGTTTGCATCCCAGTACAAATCAAGCTATTCAAAATTCATCTCCTCAGAAAATTCGGATGAATGTCATCAAGCAAAAGGACTCATCGTCAGCTAGTCCAGCAGGTGGTGTTACAAAAAACAAGGTTAATAATATAAAGTTTTCTGTTCTCACTCTTGCATTCCTTAAAAGATTTATATAGGTGACACGGTTTTATTTCGAAAAGTAATTTTTTATTAATGTATAAATACAATTTTTCATGTTCTTCTATTTACAGAACATAAGAATTATATCGTTGACAGACTTCAAGAAACTTTGCGATCAGCCAAAATCTCTACAGAAAATACCTGCAACCTTAGCGAGGTAAGTTTTTGTGTGTTCCTTAATGATTATATTTACATTAATATATTATTGTGTAGCTCTGGAGTGGTACGCCAACTTGCCGATGGTACCAAATTGGTTAACATGCGACAGTTACAGTCTCGTCAGGTGAGTTGTCATATTTCTATTGACAATATATTTCATAACAGATGTTTTTATATTTAGCTGAAATTACCATCCAGACCTATTGACAGCGGTGCTATTGATGAGCAGCAGCAGTTGCTGAACGAAGTGATAGCCTCAACGGTTACACACAATCCCGCAGCGACGAGCACACTGCGTGGGCAAGTAGGCACCGTACAAACCATTCAACTGCGCCCCTCCTTAGCAGCCGGAACTGCTGTCGGAGCCACCAACAATGGAGCTGCTATTAAGCCTTCAGCCACTGCACCCATGCGTTCGAATTTACGCACAGGCAATGAATTCAATACAACGAAGGGCCCCAACGTGATGCCATTGGCGACATCGTCAGAAATTGGTCGGCAGCTGCACGAGCTGCGGCGACATAATGAAGAGCTACGACGTCGTATGGATGTGGTGCAGAAGGAAAAGGAGGATATGCTTTTACGAATCGAACGATTGGAACAACTGATGTTGATTCGTGATTCTGATGCAGAAATGAAATATGTTAACATTTAGTGAAGGTTTAGTTTATTATCTACTTTGTAAATATGATTAACATTACGATAGTAAACATAGTTAAGTTTCACTTTAAGAAAAAAAAAAACATTTTCTATTTTGACTGCCCCTACACAATTTGTTCTACAATACTAAATAGAGACACAAACTAATAAGAATATATTGAGGTAAGCTGTAGATACACATATATGTAAGTAAGAGAAAAACATATGTTCAAGTTTTTATGTTACATATATAAAAATGTTGAACAAGGTGCACGCATTTATTAAGTGCTTTAATTATATCGATTTTATTATATGTACATATATATATGTTCATTTTACATTTAATAAAGTCTTGATACAAAATAGAGCTGAACGAATGGAAGAAATGCTGCGGATTGAATATGCGAAACTTTAAGCTTTTACGAAAAGTGACGTCACTTTTAATAATTGGTATGCTCTGAATACACTTCCAAAATGCGCAACCTTTTCAACAAAGCGATAGTATCGATACTTTATGCTTATAAATGATACCGATAGATCATGGTAAAATTAAGTAACGATAGTTGTGAACTATCGATGACAAATTATTTAATATACATTTGTTTTTACAGTTATGGACTATTGTGTAACGCTTCGTGATGACAGGATGAAAGTTACTCCGTATTGACGATAGTCCTACATAAATATCGTATGTTAAATGTACATCAAGAGATTAATAACGTATTATTCGAAATGAAATTTATTTAACATTTTCTTGTATGCTCATGTTTATTAAGTTATAGAAACATGACACACATTTTGTCACTCATGTACATTAACTCATAGTTGTGTTAGCGAATAATTGCACTTGAATTTATAAAAGTTAAAAAGGCTTTAACAATCTGCAAGATCCGTACCCATTGCGATGAAAGTTCACATTAACATTTTCATTTCTGTTTAATTTTTAAAAATATATGCATATTGTTTATTATTACAGATATAAGTATAATAAATATGTATGCGTCTCGGTATATGTATTTAGGCATGCATTTAAGAGGTTTCTACGTAGATTTGAATACATGCGTGTAATTTGATAGCGACGATTCGGGAGTCCAATACGAAAACGGGTATTTTTCGAATCAGACTCGCAAAAGTCTTAAGTGCAAGTTCATTGGTGGCTAGCGTCTAGCATGGTGTGAGCTTACAACTAAAGTTGAGCTGTAGTTACGCAATTTGACAGTATTCGCTCACAAGCTTTATACATTTTTTTTTTTTTATTTTAATAAATATTACAAACTATAATTCTGCTAAGCGAAGTCAGATATTCCATTACCACTTAGCTAAGCACAAGACTTCGCGGTCCCATGCGAGCCACATTAATAGGCCTAACTGATGCTTTTTCGTTACCAAAGGATTTGCGTGCTCCATCTCCCAGCTCGTCATCATCACCGAAAAGCAGAGCAGCTAGACTCGTTTCAAAGGTGGACTTCTTTTTGATCGTCGGCCCACTTTGATTCACAGGCGATTTCGTAGTTGTCTCTCCCTTCTTATCAATTTCCGTTGTTGATGTTTTTGTATTGTCGGGCACAAGCGTTGTTGGTGTTGTTGTTGTTGTTGTTGTTGTTGTTGTGCTGGGAATTGTGGTGCTGCTACCAGAAGGCGTAGGACTACTACTTATAGTCTGTGGGGGTGTTGTCTGTGATCCGACCAGCGCAAGTGCGATGGGCATGTTATTATCTTCACTGGATTGCACCTTTTCGCCGTACGAATTTGTGTCCTTCTGTTCCGAATGCACGTAATCAGCTGGGAAAATTGGCTTGAAACCTCCCTGTAATTGCGGCTGGAAACTGTCCAGTTCAGAATGATTTTCAGTAGAAGAATTGGTCGTATTGCCAGGTTGTAATTGCTTCTTATCTGCCGCAATCTCAATATCGGCCCGACTTATGCTATTCTTTTCGTACAGTTTTTGTTCAGAGGCAGATGAAACAATCTTCCAGTTGCTCAGCGTGGGATTACTTGTGACGCCAGTGCTTGCCCCTCCTAAACTAACGCTTGGGTAAAAGGGTGCCATAAAGTCCTTCTCGAAATTGTGGCCACGTAAATCAAAATCATTCCCTAGTATTTCCTCGGTCTGTGTTTCAGGCCGCATTTCATATTTGGCGTTCAAAATTTGTTGTTCCCGTTTCGTAAGATCGCCACGTGGGTAAGAGCTCGGCTCTGTTGGGGTATATGCAATCGCAATGGGAGCTTCTGTTCCGGTATTGAGAGCGGCCGTTATAATTCGTGGCGCCACGAGCACACCCGGGACATGTAGAGCGGGTTGCAGCTCAGTGTATGACGGATCCGGCTTTTCAATCGGATATGGGAACTTTTGCTTGTGTAGAGGCTGTATTTTTGCCTGCTGCTGAAGGGACTGAGGCTTTTTGTTCTTCAAGATGGGCTCCTGGGGCTGTTCGCGAATCACCGAGAAAGGTGTATTCTGATACTCAACGGCAGTCAATGCCGCCGATTCAGGAAGTAACATCGAGTCTCTGTTTTCGCTGGCAACTGCCTCATTTTCACTTTGACTCGCTAATTTAGACTTTGGATGAGACGTATGCTCGATTACTTTGGTGGCCAAGGCTTCTTGCGGGTTATGTTCGGCTGTTACTTGTATTTCACCGGCTCCAGTGTCGTCACCGTTCAGAGGTTTCTTTTGTGACTGCAGCATTTGCAGCGTGACGACTGCTTCCAGTTTGGATTCGTTCGTATTCTGGATATCCTTGTTGGGTGTCTGAGGTGGATCATTTATTACCAGATCTTCCTCCTCGTAATCGTCTAGATCGCCACCATTCAGCTTAGATGGCTGCGGAGTAATCGGCGCGTGTCGCTCGACTGGGTAGTAGCCATCGATCGCACGCAACGGACCGTTGGGTCGACGAGAATACATGCGATCCCGCAACTGAGGCATTCTTTGACCGCCATTGGGTGGCAGTCGATAGACGCGTCTATTAACGGCGCTATATTCAGAGATGCGGTTTAAGGGATAACGATTCTGCAATTGTGGCTGTTGCATGGGCTGACGTCTATTCGAGAACTGTGGTGCAGTGGAAGGATTGTAGGGCGCTCTCATTCCTTGCGTGGGTAGACGTATATTTCCGGGCTCCTGCTTCAAGTTTGACGGATGGCCAATCGAGATTTTTGCGTTGGGCCGGAACTGGGGTAGAATGTTGGGCAGGTTTCCATTGGGACGTGGGCCCGCCTGAGGTTGAGACTGAGACTTGCGATCGAACTCTTTGTAGAAGGGCGCTGAAGGTGAATCGTTTGGGCGTTGCACCTGAGCGTGATGCAACGGAGCATATCGGGGTGGTGGCACCATCTCTTGGGAGGGCTGTTCATTTTGGCTCAGCTGTTGTGTGGGGAATGTCTGCAAAATGAAAGGAACTAAATGTAAGTACATAGTTAAGGTAGCCAAGGCAAGTTTTAAGTTTTAAGATTACCAATTGTTGCTGGTGCTGTTTGATATTGACTACTTCGTGCTGTTGAATTTGAACATCTGAGCCAGTAGCTTCCTCGTCGCTGATCTTCGGAAAGACCACCGGATTGGCATTTTGTATCTGCTGTAGACTCAGTGGCTGTGCATGACCATTGATATGTGGAGAGATTGGTGGACCAGGTGCAACGCCAGCAGGAGGCATATTAAGTGAATCATCTTGGTTAGACGGGAACCGAATATTGGTGGAGACTAATAGCTCCTTAGTGTCATGGCTAGTGGCTACCGGCTGAACTTGGGCTGATGTGGACATTGTCGAGTGCACTGGTTGATTTTTCGGTGGGGTAGCCAAAGCCGTGGAAAAGGTATCCGCAGCTACTTTGGCGGGTTGTTTCTTCAGACCCAAATTTGAGCCAATCAACGGCAGTTGCTGATATGGAGTGGGTGCCTCTGGCGGTAGCTCTTGATAGCCAGCGGGGCCAGCTGCGTTTCCTGTCAGAGGAGTCTCAGGAGCAGCAACAGGCGCGACGTTAGTGTTCGGTTGAAATTTAGTATTGGAATGATAGTTGGGCCTTTGTTGATAGATGCTTGGAGGAGTTGGCTGTTGTGCCGATGGAAACTGTTGTTGGTGTTGATTGGAAGGCATTGGACGCTTAATGTTGGCTATCTCCTCGTTGATAACCTGACCATATTGTACACTACCAGTATCCACGGAAAACTGTCCCTCGCTCTTCACAATACTGGGATGACTCACTTGCTGCTGACTGCCAAGCACAAAGGATGCCGACTGCTGCCCAGGAGAGATGACCACGTTGTTGATCTGTCCGGGTATGGGACGGTACTGCATAACATTTGGCTGCTGAACCTGGTACGAAACATACTGATTGTTGTCGCTTTCCGGTCCAGCTGATATTAGTTTGTGGTCGGTAGAGTATGGTTTCTGGTTCTGGATCGTGGGCGGCTGTGACTGCTGCGGCTGCATTGCAAATGGCGACGGCTGGGATGGTGCGATTGGCTCTATAAGATTACCCTGAGAATCAAAGCCTTGATTCTGCTGGTAATTATTGGCAACTGCTACCTCCTCCTCAGCTAGATTGTTAAAAATGTCACTTAAAGTCATCGTTGGCTGCTGCTGGGCCTTGTTATTTTTCTGGCCCAATGTATGGTAGACATCCGCCGGGTCAAGATTTGGAATTTTCGTGCTGTCAACAATCGGTGTCATTGCTTGCGGCGTGGTTGAGCTGACCAGAAGTGGTCGCACGCTGGGGGATGAATACATTTTGGCGCTAGTCGTTGGCTCAGTGGGAAATATGTCGGCCTGCGGCGTTGGATGATGGGTGGTAAATGTGACAGCGCTGCTAGTTTGTGTTGGCTTGGGCTGCTGTTTGGGCAGTTGTTGCTCCAATATGTTATCCGTCGTATTTGGGCTGCTTGTTGTGGTTGTACTTTGCGCATACTGTTTTTTTGTTGGGAAGAACTTCTTCCGTGTGGTACTCGATCGTACTGGCTGACTCGTTGTCGTTACGGATATGGGCACAGGTCGACGTGTTGTGGTTGTTCGTCTTGCTGTCGTCGTTGGAGGGCGAGTTGTTGTAGCCAAGGTGGAGGACACAGTTGGATTTGTTGGGCGACTTGACGTGGATGCTACTGTAGATGTTGAGCTCGATTCGGTGGGTGCGACGGGCATAAGTTTGGTTGATGACACCGTGAAATAATTCTCGCT